ATGGACATGTGAATTGTGTATGATATTTGTGTAACAATGGACTTGTGAGGTGTCAGTGACGTGTACGATATTTGGGTTATAATAGACCAGTGACGTGTATGATATTTGTCTTATAATGGACCAGTGACGTGTATGATATTTTCGTAATAATGGACCAGTGACGTGTACGATATTTGTGTTATATTGGACCAGTGACGTGTACGATATTTGTGTAATAATGGACCAGTGACGTGTACGATATTTGTGTAACAATGGAACAGTGACGTGTACGATATTTGGGTTATAATTGACCAGTGACGTGTACGATATTTGGGTTATAATAGACCAGTGACGTGTATGATATTTGTCTTATAATGGACCAGTGACGTGTATGATATTTGTCTTATAATGGACCAGTGACGTGTATGATATTTTCGTAATAATGGACCAGTGACGTGTACGATATTTGTGTTATATTGGACCAGTGACGTGTACGATATTTGTGTTATATTGGACCAGTGACGTGTACGATATTTGTGTAACAATGGAACAGTGACGTGTACGATATTTGGGTTATAATAGACCAGTGACGTGTATGATATTTGTGTAATAATGGACCAGTGACGTGTACGATATTTGTGTTATAATGGACCAGTGACGTGTATGATATTTGTCTTATAATGGACCAGTGACGTGTATGATATTTGTGTAATAATGGACCTGTGAGGTGTATGTGTATGTGTGACAATGGACCTGTGAGGTGTATAATATTTGTGTAACAATGGACCTGTTAGGTGTATGATATTTGTGTTATAATTGACCAGTGTCGTGTACGATATTTGTGCTATAATGGACCTATGAGGTGTATGATATTTGTGTAACAATAGACCTGTGAGGTGTATGATATTTGTGTGACTATGGACATGTGAGGTGTATGATAAATGTGTAACAATGGACCTGTGAGGTGTGTGATATTTGTGTAACAATGGACATGTGAGGAGTATGATATTTGTGTAACAATGGACCTTTGAGGTGTATGTTATTTGTGTAACAATGGACATGTGAGGAGTATGATATTTGTGTAACAATGGACCTGTTAGGTGTATGATATTTGTGTTATAATTGACCATTGTCGTGTACGATATTTGTGCTATAATGGACCTATGAGGTGTATGCTATTTGTGTAACAATGGACCTGTGAGGGGTATAATATTTGTGTAACAATGGACATGTGAGGAGTATGATATTTGTGTAACAATGGACCTGTGAGGCGTGTGATATTTGTGTAACAATGGACATGTGAGGTGTATGATATTTGTGTAAAAAGGGACATGTGAGGTGTATGATATTTGTGTAAAAATGGACATGTGAGGTGTATGATATTTGTGTAACAATGGGCCTGTGAGGTGTATGTGTATGTGTAACAATGGACCTGTGAGGTGTATAATATTTGTGTAACAATGGACATGTGAGGTGTATGTGTAACAATGGACCTGTGAGGTGTATGATATTTGTGTAACAATAGACATGTGAGGTGTATGATATTTGTGTAACAATGGACATGTGAGGTGTATGATATTTGTCTAACAATGGACCTGTTAGGTGCATGATATTTGTGTAACAATAGACCTGTGAGGTGTATGATGTTTGTGAAACAATGGACCTTTGAGGTGTATGATGTTTGTGAAACAATGGACCTTTGAGGAGTATGATATTTGTGTAACAAAGGACATGTGAGGTGTATGCTATTTGTGCAACAATAGACCTGTGAGGTGTATGATGTTTGTGAAACAATGGACCTTTGAGGTGTATGATGTTTGTGAAACAATGGACCTTTGAGGAGTATGATATTTGTGTAACGATGGACATGTGAGGTGTTTGATATTTGTGTAACAATGGACCTGTTAGGGGTATGATATTTGTCTAACAATGGGCCTGTTAGGTGCATGATGTTTGTGTAACAATGGACGTGTGAGGTGTATGATATTGGTGTAACAATAGACATGTCAGGTGTATGATATTTGTTTAACAATGGACATGTGAGGTGTTTGTGTATGTGTAACAATAGACATGTGAAGTGTATGATATTTGTGTTGCAATGGCCCTGTGAGGTGTATGATATGTGTGTAACAATGGACATGTGAATTGTGTATGATATTTATATAACAATGGACATGTGAATTGTGTATGATATTTATATAACAATGGACATGTGAATTGTGTATGATATTTATATAACAATGGACATGTGAATTGTGTATGATATTTATATAACAATGGACATGTGAATTGTGTATGATATTTATATAACAATGGACATGTGAGGGGTATGATATTTGTGTAAAAATGGACATGTGAGGAGTATGATATTTGTGTAACGATGGACATGTGAGGTGTATATTTGTGTAACAATGAACCTGTGAGGTGTATGATATTGGTGTAACAATAGACATGTGAAGTGTATGATATTTGTGTTACATAGGACATGTGAGGTGTATGATATTTGTGTAACAATAGACATGTGAGGTGTATGCTATTTGTGTAACAATAGACCTGTGAGGTGTATGATATTTGTGTTACAAAGGACATGTGAGGTGTATGTGTATGTGTATGTGTATGTGTATGTGTAACAATAGACATGTGAGGTGTATGATATTTGTGTAACAATGGACCTGTGAGGTGTATGATATTTGTGTAACAATGGACCTGTGAGGTGTATGATATTTGTGTAACAATGAACCTGTGAGGTGTATGTGTAACGATGGACATGTGAAGTGTATGATATTTGTGTAACAATGGACCTGTGAGGTGTATGTGTAACGATGGACATGTGAATTGTGTATGATATTTGTGTAACAATGGACATGTGAGGTGTGTGATATTTGTGTAACAATGGACCTGTGAGGTGTATGATATTTGTACATTTGTAGTTATACATTGAAGGTAAGTTTTCAAAAGTGTTAAGAAAAAATATATTTACTATGTGACACCATGATAAATTTCGAATATTTATATTTCATGTTATTAATGTTTGCATACTCTAACTTAGACAGAGTCAGTTTAGCATTAGAAAGCCAAATTTGTAAAATCAAGTAAAAATATTATTGTTTTGTTAATTGAACCAGACAAGAGAATTCTTATAAAATAAGAAACAGGAAATCCTATAAAATATAAGTGGCTAAAAATATCCCAAAAGGAAATCCTGTACAATATCAGTGGCCGAAATATCCCAATAGGAAATCCTGTACAATATCACACTCCTGGAGGTACATTCCATGAAAAACAAGAGGCCCAGAGGGCCTGTATCACTCACCTGAATATAATTAAAGTAATTGGTATGAAGTAAAGATATAGCACTCCATGGTAGGTGCTGTAAGTACATATGAAATTTCAGAAAATTGCATCCAGTACTTGAGATATAGAGAACAAACTTCAAACAGAGCACCATCCCTATGCCCCTACGGGGGTCATACCCAAAATTGGTTCCCCATCCCCAAGAATGCTTCAGACCAAATATGGACAAAATCCTGTCACTCCTACCGAAGAAGAAAGATTTTGAAGAATTACGTCTATTTCCCCTATTGGGCCCCACCCCTCAGGTCCCAGGGGGGCCAGATCCACGGTGTATACAAAATTGGTTCCCCTTCACCCAAGAATGCTTCAGACCAAATATGAAACAAATCCTTTCATTCCTACAGAAGAAGAAGGATTTTAAAGAAGAATTTGCTATGTTTCCCATATTGGGCCTCGCCCCTCAGGCCCCTGGGGAGCCAGACCCATGGTTTATACAAAATTGGTTCCCAACTACCCAAGGATGCTCCACACCAAATATGGACCAAATCCTTTCATTCCTACAGAAGAAGAAAGATTTTAAAGAATTTGCTACATTTCCCCTATTGGGCCCCGCCCCTCAGCCCCCAGGGGGGCCAGACCCACCATTTATACAAACTTTGTTCCCTTTCCCCCAAGGATGCTTCTGACCAAATATGGAACAAATCCTTTCATTTCTACAGAAGAAGAAGGATTTTAAAGAAGAATTTGCTATATTTCCCCTAGTTGGCCCCACCCCTCAGGCCCCTGGGGGGCCAGACCCACCATTTATACAAAATTGGTTCTTCTTCACCCAAGGATGCTCCACACTAAATTTTGTTAAAATCTGCTCAGTAGTTCATGACTAGTAGTGTAAAGTTAACGGACGACGGACGCTGCGGTATGGCATAAGTTCACCTTGGTCCTTCGGACCAGGTGAGCTAAAAACATGAATTTACCTGATCGATCAGTGGCTGAAAGTATCCCAATAGGAAATCCTGTACTGAAAATATCCCAATAGTTTCCATTTTACTGATGTACTTTAATATTTAAAGTTATTTAATATATTATATTTTGATTTTTTTTGCTCATCACTAATGAAACAAGAGGCCCATTGGGCTTGCATCGCTCACCTGGTATTAATCTCACAAGTGTAACCTAAAAAGTGGAATAAAATAAAGCTACAGGAAAATATCAGTGTCTTTCAGATTTCAGTAATTCAGAAGAACCTGTTAAACGATTAAAACACATTTGACCCCTGTGACCTTGAAAGTCAAACATGGACATTAAGTTGAAAAACTTTGTAGCCCTTCCTCCAAGAATGAAACTTGCCAAATACCACAAACTTACACCTTTTGTTTATTTAAAGTTTTTTCACTATGGACCGTGAAAGTGTGTCAAGGTCATTCACATCAACAAGCAATCACCCTGTCAGCTTTAGTTATTCAGAAGAAGTCGTTTAAAGGTTTTCAAGACAATTGATCCATGTGACCTTGAAAATGGATGAAGGTCATTCATTTGAACAACCTTGGTAGCCCTTCATCCCAGCATGCTAGTGGCCAAATATCATTACCCTGGACATTTTGGTTATTCAGAAGAAGTTGTTTAAAGTTTTTAACATAGTTGATCTCTGTGACCTTGAAAATAGGTGAAGGTCATTTATTTGAACAAACTTGGTAGCCCTTCTTTCCAGTTTGCTTCTGGCCAAATAGCATCACCCTAGGCCTCTTGGTTATTAAGAAGAAGTTGTTTAAAGTAAAATATTGACGCCAGATGCCGGACGAACAATGGACTTGCAGACGATGGACTTTTGGTCGGACGGATGGACGACGGACGCCGCACCACGGCATAAGCCTTTATCAGAAAACTTTAAAATTATTTTGTCGCAAATTTCAGAATAAAGTCATGATTATTAAATCCTTCTGGATTTGATATAAGTTTTTAAATTCTATAAATGCCTTCTCATACAAACAATAAATGATTTAATGACTAGCTTTATGCATGTAGTTTTAATTCCCTATTGTCCTTAATGGTCACCAGAGTTGTTTATTCTTCCTGTTGTGACATTACAAAGTAAAGCAATAAATGAAGCGATTAGGGCTTCACTCTGGATTTAAGAACAAAATAATCCTTGAAATTGATAAATATTTATCACATATATTGCCGGAATTTGTCAGAATACAGACAAATTACAACCAAACCTAAGCTTTATGACCCTGAAGAAAAACATTTTGAAATATGTTCAACCTATTTCACTTCTTTTTTGTTCAGTCTCAATTTTCATAGTCAAACTGTCATGCCATTACAAAAATTGGAACCAAGTCTTAATTATTTTCTTCCCAAAATACCATCCCCCCTCCCCCCAAAAAATTGATGAGCATTTAAAAACAAACATTGATATTTCAACTTTATAACTTTAACATAACAGTACTACGTTTGACTGCATAGCCTTTGTTGCTCTTTGTTTCATATTTCAGAGCAAAAACAAATATGTATGTTTGAAATCCATATCTTTTTCATAGCATACTGTTTATATAAACATGCTTAAATACAAAACATTAAAAACCGTTTACAAAGGTAAACTAACATTATTCAGGCAAACAAATATAAATCACATGAAGGACAACAAACATTTGATTTGTATGATTCATTTTTTTGATAAGGTTCTATCTATAATTTGAAACATAGCCCTTAGACCAAGGATTCATGAGACTTTGATTTTGTTACAGTGATATTTTCCATAAAACAACCCTTTAGGCAACTTTGTTTTGTCTCTTTGTAACTAAATCATTATTGAAATATTAATCTTTAAAAGCTCCTAAGAGAGTGTTAGTTATCCGAAAAAAAATAGTTGTATGTAGTTGTGACCTTAAGGAGGACACCCATTAACTTTTTTTGACATTCACCAAATTCAAATCTTGATTACTTTCTTGATATCTTCACATTCAGTACTAAATGTTACTTTACCTTTCTTTGTATCTTCACATTCAGTACTAAATGTTACTTAACCTTTCTTTGTATCTTCACATTCAGTACTAAATGTTACTTAACCTTTCTTTGTATCTTCACATTCAGTACTAAATGTTACTTTACCTTACTTTGTATCTTTACATTCAGTACTAAATGTTACTTTACCTTTCTCTGTATCTTCACATTCAGTACCAAATGTTACTTTACCTTTCTTTGTATCTTCACATTCAGTACTTAATGTTACTTTACCTTTCTTTGTATCTTCACATTCAGTACTAAATGTTACTTTACCTTTCTTTGTATCTTCACATTCAGTACTAAATGTTACTTAACCTTTCTTTGTATCTTCACATTCAGTACTAAATGTTACTTTACCTTTCTTTGTATCTTTACATTCAGTACTAAATGTTACTTTACCTTTCCTTGTATCTTTACATTCAGTACTAAATGTTACTTAACCTTTCTCTGTATCTTCACATTCAGTACTAAATGTTACTTAACCTTTCTTTGTATCTTCACATTCAGTACTAAATGTTACTTTACCTTTCTTTGTATCTTCACATTCAGTACTAAATGTTACTTTACCTTTCTTTGTATCTTCACATTCAGTACTAAATGTTACTTTACCTTTCTTTGTATCTTCACATTCAGTACTAAATGTTACTTTACCTTTCTTTGTATCTTTACATTCAGTACTAAATGTTACTTAACCTTTCTTTGTATCCTCACATTCAGTACTAAATGTTACTTAACCTTTCTTTGTATCCTCAGATTTGGTACTACATCTACTATTTGCTCGCTCCTCAATTGTGGACAGTTTGTTATTTCGTTGTGCTTTCTCATGTTTTATTTCAGTGTATTTTTCTATGTCTTCACTATTCTTTTTAATTTCCATTTCCAGCACTTCGATTGTATTACCAATTTTGTCATTGTTGTTTGTATTAAAACAACTATTCTGTTGTGGTTCTGTATTTTCACTTCCATTCACAACCACTTTGTGAAAGTTAGTCTGATTTTGATTTTTCAATGAAGACTTGGCAGGTTTGCTCAAAGAAGAAAACCGATTAGAATTAGAACTGTTACTTTCCATAAAACTGTTCATCATTTTCACCTCATCTGGTCTGAAATGAACTTGTTCTGAAAAAGTAAAAAAAAAGAGAAATCAGCAGTGTTATATCGTTTATTTATCACTTCCAATGCCAAATCAATTCATACCAGCTAGTTTACAATCTCTATTTATACAACAAGGGTACCGCGGGGCGGAACAAAATATGCCTGTCGAGTGCCATATAGTGTTATATACTTTCTTACATTGAAAGAAGATCTGCATCATTCTTAGAGTGGTTAGCTAATATGCTATAAACAAGAGGCCCAGAGGGCCTGTATCGCTCACCTAAATATGTTTAAAATAATTGTTATGAAGTAGGTGCTGTAAATACATATGAAATTTCAGAAAGATCCATCCAGTACTTGAGATATAGTGAGAACAAACTTCAAACAGAGCCCCACCCCTATGCAACCTAGGGNGGGGGGGTCATGTCATACCCATCAATTATACAAAATTGAGTCCCCTTGGTCCATTGATGCTCCAGACTTAATAAGGATAAAATCCCATAATCCCGGTTTTAAAGGTTTTACCTCTATTTCTCCAATTGAGCCCCACCCTTTTGCCCCCTGGGAGACCAAACCCACTGCTTATACAAAATTGTTTCCCCTTCACCCAAGCCTGCTTCATTCCAAATTTGAACAAAATCCTGTCATTTCTACAGAAGAAGAAGGATTTTGAAGAATTTGCT